GGAGCTAAGAGGAGGATGCAGCAAGGAAGGTGCTGGGAGTCCCAACAGAAACTGACAGCTGAGCCTCCCCACTCGCTTGCTGCCAACACCATCCCTGCAGATCACTGATCTAACCATGCCGCTGCCTACCTAAGCACCCCTCGGCCAACTGGCTGAGGTTCAGCCAGTGTTTGGTAGTCTGACCACCACATTTTGTCCCTTCTCTGAGCTCTGCTCCTCTGGCTCAACCACCCATATTTGCCTGGGTGCCATAACCTGAAGGCATCACCAGGCCATGGCACCCTATGATCCCCTCTGTAAGGAATACCTCCTCCCCAAGCTCCACTCTAACACGCAGACTCCCTCCAGGAGCTGGCTCCGAGCGGGGTCAGGGAGCATGTAGCAGGTGCTCAGCCAACGGAAGGAAAATTGAAGACATCAGGAGTCTCTCCATGTCTTAGTCTGGGTTCGCTAGAGGAGCAAAACCAGTGAAGCATATATATAAATATGTATAGAGAGATTTACTTCAAGGAAATAGCTCACACAATTGTGAGGAAATGGCTTACACATTTGTGGGGGCTGGCAAGTCCCAAATCCGTGGGTCAGGTGGCAGGCTGGAGGCCTCTGCTGTTCCTGGGGTTGTAGGGGCTGGCAAATTCAAAATCTGCAGGTCAGGCAGCAGGCTGGGGACCTCTGGAGGTTATGTCCCAGGAACTGGAGGTCAGGTAACGAGAAGCGCGCAGGGTCAAGAGAGAATGAGCTTTGCCAGAACATCCGTTTATATACTGGAGGCAGGCCACACTCCCAAGGAAACTCCTCTTTCAAAATGATTTCAAATCAGATCACATCATGGAATGTGATTACATTATGTTACATTATGGAAGAGCAATCCGTCCTGGATCTGCCAAACTACTGAGAATCATAGTCTAGTCAAGTTGACACATAACATCAACCATCACGCCACAGCTGCCTGTTCCACTCAGCCAGAAGCCCCCGCAGGGCCCCACCAGGTCCAGGTCCCTATCACGTCTCTGAGCTCCCCCACTACTCTGCCCCTCACCTCCTCCACTCCTACCATCCTGGCCTTTGCACTGGCTGTTCCCTCTGCCTGGAATGCTTCTCTCCTGGCTGTCCAAAGGGCCCTATCTCCTGGCCTAATTCAGATCTCTGCTCCCTGAGAAGACTTCCCTGCCCCTCCAATTCCACGTGGGCACCCCAGTATCCACCACATCATTGTAGTTTATGTCGTTCGTAGCATCTGCTCTCTACCTTCTTTGTCTCCCCCACTAGACTTGCCTCCATGCGGGCAGGGCCTGGGTTGACAACTGCCTGCTGTCTTCCCTGTCTGGCACACAGTAATGCTAAATAAATGCTTGTGGAATGAATGAATGAAGGCAGGGAGGTGGGAATGCATAAGCAGGCAGGTTGCTGTGGGCCCCATCCTAGTAGGAAGCCCTGGTGGTGTAGTGGTTAAGTGCTTGGCTGCTAATTGAAAGGTCAGTGGTTTGAACACACCAGCTGCTCCGTGGGAGAAAGGACCTGGCAATCTGCTCCAGTAAAGATTACAACCTAGGGGCCCTCAGGGCCTGGGTCAAGGCCTCTACCTGCAGTGCCTGCTTTGGGGGTTCCTCACCACCATGGGTCACCTGGGACTGTGTGAGGTACCCTAGACTGACTTCAGTGACCGCAGAGACAGGCTGAGAGGGCCTCTGGGACCGTGAGGGTCTCGGCTTTGGGGATTGGGATGAACAAACCTGGGTCTGGAGGAGTCAGGGGCTACTCATCCCCAACAGCATTCAGTGCCTTTGGTGAAGGCTGCCACTGCTCACCTGTTCAAGCCACTGCCCTGGCTCAGCCCCATTGTCGTCATCATCAACCACCCAGACCATTGCACTAGCCAGCTTGACGGTCTCCCTACCCACCTGGGTAAAGTAGGGATCTTGAGATGGGGAGATTGTCCTGAACAACACATCTTCAAAGGAGCCCTGGTGGTGCAACGGTTAACAACTCAGCTGCTAACCGAAAGGTCTTTGGATGGAACCCACCCAGGGTCTCCACAGGAGAAAGACTGGTCATCTGCTCCCATAAAGATCACAGTCAAGAAAACCTATGGAGGTAGTTCTACTCTGTCACATGGGGTCACCATGAGTCAGAATTGACTTGATGGCAGGCCACAACAACATTATTTATTATTAACTATTGTTATGGCTGAGAATCCTGCGGCTCTGGTTGGTCTCCGAGGGAACTCTTTGCCCTCACCCATACAGGCTCCCACCCTCGCCTTCCTGGAAGTGCAAACAAGCAGGGAGAGGTCAGTGCCCCACCCCCTGACACCGTTCTTGGCCTTATCACCCAGGACATTCACCCCAGACACTGGGCGGCTGGACAGAGGACTGATCACCATGTCTGTGCTGGTGGTCTCCCTGCTGCTTTGGGGTGAGGCACCCTGAAGCCTGGGGCCCTCCAGTGGGAGGGGTGGGAAGGACAGGGGTGGGGGTTTCACAGGCATTGTCTCCACAGGCCTCTCCCTGGGTCCAGCCACTAAGGCAGCCACATGTGAGTACAAGGGTTGGGGGCTGAGGGTGGTGGACACACACAGCAGATGAGCCCCTGGTCCTGGAGTCAGCGTGGTGACCCTGGTCCCCTGTGCAGATATTGACACCCGGCCGAGCCTATGGGCAGAGGTCGAATCCCTGCTGGAACCCTGGGCCAACGTAACACTGACGTGCCAGGCCCACCAGGGCAGCCTGGAGTTCCAGCTGTTCAAGGATGGGGTGGCCCAGGAGCCCGAGCACCTACTTGGTATGGAGCACAAGTTCCTTCTGGGAGCAGTGACCAGTGAAACCCGTGGACTCTACCGCTGCCGGACGGGCATGGGCGGCAGGTGGACAGAGTTGAGCAACCTGGTGGAGCTGTCTGGGGCAGGTGAGCAGGGACCCTAATGGGGGACCGGGAGGCAGTGGGAAGGGGACTGCTGGGGGCCTCCCTTCAACTACTCCTCGCCCTCCCTGTCCTGGTCTTCCCGCCCACCTCCTGAGGAACTAGGTGGCCTTCGCCAAGTCACGTAATGTTTCACAGCCTTGGTTTCCCCATCTGTAAAATGGAGATGATATTCCTACAGACCCCAGAGGTTGTGAGGAACAGAAAAGTAAATCCCCAGAAAAGGCTTAGGGCAGGCCTGGCCCACAATAGGGGCCTTATACATGGGCCTGCTTTATGCACCTCTCTCCGCTTGTCCCTGCCTCCCTTTCCCCCATTAATGCCCTCCGTCTTTCTAGTTTCCGTTACATTTTCCTGAGCGAGGGGGTCTGGGTCCATTCTGACAGCTCACCTTCTCTGAGTTTCACGAGACTGCATATCATCCTTACGCATTCTGCAGACTCCCTAGCCCCACCCTTGCTCTCGGCTGAGCCAGTGTCTTGGATCACTCGGGGCTTGGATACAACTCTGGTGTGCCGCGGGGGGCTGCAGGGTGTGACCTTTCTCCTGAAGCGGGAAGGCGATGATGAGTTTCTGGAGGTGGCTGAGGCCCCCAAGGACACAAAGGCCACTTTTTTGGTCCACCGTGCTGGCAACTACAGTTGTAGCTACCGGACTTATGCAGCAGGCAACCTCTCAGAGCCCAGTGCCACCATGAGGATTGAGGAGCTAGGTGAGTGCGTGGACCACCCTGGAGTGCTTCCTGGTGTGGAGGCTCTGGAAGGGCGGGCTGCATTCTCTTTGCCCCCCACCCTGAATACCCCTCCCGCTCAAGATGGAGTCGGAGAAATGGTGGCCATACAGTTGCCTGGCCTTGATAGTTGTGTAGGAGTTTGCCACGAGGAAGTGTGTTCCTGGAGAGGTAGTGGGGAGGGCAAGGTATCGAGGCTGGGCAGACGATAATTTCCTGGGGGAGGGGAGTTCGCTCCCACATAACCGTCCCTACCTTGCAGAGGCACCACCCCCACCTGCGCTGAGCCTCCAGAGAGAGACCACGGCAGTCCTGCGCCCGGGCACCCGCGCTAGCTTCCTCTGCGTGGCGCCCTTGAGCGGTGTGGAATTCCAGCTGCGGCGGGGGGAGGCCTCACTGCTCGTAAAGATGAGCTCCACCAGCCCAGATCGAGTTTTCTTCGACATGGACACGGTGGCGCCCAGCGAGAGCGGCCTGTACACCTGCCGCTATCGGCTGCGTGAAGGGCATGCTGCCTGGTCCATGGACAGCGCACCTGCGGAGCTGCTGCTGAGCGACGGTGAGCCCAGTGGCCAGCAGGGGCAGGGCCCGGCCCGGAAGCCTAGGGAGCTCCGTCCTGAGGGGTCGGGTGGTGGAGGAAAAGGGACAGGGCTGGGTCGCGCCTGAGTGCAGAGCTCTGGGTCCAATCCGGACTCACCTGCCGGACAGGCCTCATTTTTCCCATCCGAGAATGGGGTGATGACCACAGCAACCTCGAGGACCTGCCAAAAGTAATTGGGTCAACAAGCGGGCCTCGCACAGGCCACGCAGGCTCCACCTCCTCGGGGTCCCTTCTAGCCTCCAGGCCCTGGGCCAGTCTGCAGGCCCTGCCAAGGGCAGGCAGCTTCAATTCCAGCCGGTGACCAGGCTGGCCCAGGGAGCGTGGCTGCTCCATCGACCTCACGCCCTGAGCGCGATCACCATTCGAGGAGCATGGACTGCGCACTGGACTTCAAGCCCACAGCCCCTGGGAGTTCCTAGCTGCCCCCGGGGCCAGGGCGGGCGCTGGGGCAGTGCCCAGCAGACGCATGTGGGGTGAAGCCAAGACTGAACGCCCACCTGTGCCGGGCGCCAAGTGGTGACAAAAAACACGAACCCCTCGTCTGTTTTTATAGACAAACAAATTAATAAGGAACAGTGTATGTGTGTGTGTGAGAGAGAGAAAGACAGAGAGAGACACAGAGAGCAAACTCGAGCCAAGGAAGGACTGAGTCAGGAGGAAGGGTGGTGCGGTTTTCAGTAGGGTGGAGGCATGGGGTGGACATCTGGGCGGACCATGGACCACGGGTTACGTCGACAGCCACATGAGACCCTCATCCCGCGTAGTGTGCCTGGGGGCGCATGGAGGAGGCCGCATACCTGGGGTGAAGGGAGGGCTGTGGGGGAAGCATCAGCCTCCAGGACCCACCAGCCCTCGACCTCACCACAGGGACGCTACCTGCGCCGGTGCTGGAGCCGGAGGCGAGCCCCAGCCCTGCGCCCGGTGAGCTGGTGCGGCTCCTGTGCCACGCGCCCTTGGCCGGCATGCGCTTCGCCCTGGAGCGCGAGGACGCGCACGGGCGCCGCGTGCGCGGCCGTCTGAGTCCCGCGGGCGCGGTGGCCCACTTCGAGCTGCGCGATGTGTCGGTGCAGGACTCAGGCAACTACAGTTGCGTCTACGTGGACCCCGAGCCGCCCTTCGCGGGCTCGGTGCACAGCGCGCCTGTGGAGCTGCGCGTGGACGGTGAGCGTGCGGGGCAGGGGCCTCAGAAACGCCTTCTCCCTGGTTAGCCCGCTTCCCTTGGGTGCCAAACCAAAACCAAACCCATTGCTATCGAGTCAATCCTGACTCAGAGCGACCCTATAGGACAGAGTAGAACTGACCCACAGAGTTTCCAAGGAGCGCCTGGTGGATTTGAACTGCCGACCTTTTGGTTAGCAGACATATCTCTTAACCACTACGCCACCAGGGTTTCCCTTTGGGTGCCAGAGGGCGGCGAGCTGTGCTCTGTCCTGCCCCTGCCGACTCCTGCTGGGATATGGGTGGGGGTAGGGGTGAGGGTCGGGGAGGTGGTGGCCCAGGGTTCTGGGGATGTCCTTGCTTTTCGGCTTATTTCCCATGGTGGCTGCATGTAGTGATAACGTGGTTGAAAGGGTAGAGGCTGGACTCAAGATTTCCACATTCACACCCCTGCCTGCTTTGCACCCTCTCAGTGCCTCAGTTTCTCTGTGGTAAGCGCATGTCGGTTGTGGGAGTCACTACTGGATTATGGCCTTCCACTCTGGCCTGTGCCTGGGCCCCACAGATGGAGTGTTAATGTTTAATTCCCTCTGTGCCAGCCCCAACGCCCCTTGGGTGTTTATCCTCCTGTTTCCTCATCAAGCTCTCCAGGGGCCAGAGGCCACACAGAGCCAGCTGGGCCCAGATCTGGCATTCACGCCTTTGCCAGGGCTGTACTCTCTGTCGGGACACGCGTTTCCCTTGATCATTTGATTCTGTTCTCTCTGTCTCGAGGCCTTAAGTGCACGATGCTGGGGACCTCGAGAAATGTCGGAGCAGGCCTGGGTCTGGGGACTGCAAGCCCCTGGGTGGGGGTGAGGATTTGCCGGGCACAGATAGTTACAATACAGAGTGACCAGGTGTAAGGACAGTGGGAGGAGTAGGGGCAGGGGAACCCAGAAGAGGAGCTGTCTTTGCTCAGGGCCAAGGATAGGGAGGAAAGCATGCTTGGCAGAGGGGAGGGCAACAGCCTGGAGGGGAGGAAGGGCTTTAATGGGGGGCGAGTAGAGGAGGGCTGGGGTAGCTGCTGTCCTAGGCCAGAGCCTCACCCTACTGACCTAGTCACTCTGCCCAGGTCCCCCTCCCAAGCCGCAGCTCCGGCCCCTGTGGCGGGGTGTGGTGACCCCAGGTCGGGATGCTGTCCTACACTGCGAGAGCCCATTGTCCGATGTCACCGTCGAGCTGCTTCGGGAGGGTGAGGTGGTGACGTCGACTGTGCACTGGGACACTGGCCCCGGAGTGGACCTTGTACTGACCTACGTGGGGCCCCAGCACGCTGGCAACTACAGCTGCCGCTACCGTTCCTGGTGGCCCAATCCCTTGCTGTCAGACCTCAGTGACCCTGTGGAGCTACAGGTGGCAGGTGAGGGTTCCCCTGGTCCTGGGCGGGTCCCACCTTCCAGCCTTTGCCTCTGTTACGCCCTCCACCAGGAGTGCCCATTTCTAGTCAGCGTGCCCAGTCTCTGCTCGGGTATATGTGTGTATATGTGGGCGGGTAAGGGATTTGCAGGCAGGGGAACTGCAAGTGCAAAGGCCCTGGGACAGGAAGTGGCTTGGCTAGCAGAGGCCTGGTGGGGGGCATGTTTGGCAGCTTAAGGGCCTCAGGGAAATCTATCCTGATAGCACCAGGGAGGTGGGCACAGGATTCCCCCCCCTCAAGTAATCCCTGGTCTCCAGAGCTCACCCACCCCCTCATTTCCCTTTTGTCAAATTTGTCAAAAGGAAGTTGATCCTGCTGCAGACCCAGGATGCTGATGGGATCCCTGAGAAATCCTCTCTCTGGTCTGGCTTCTATCCTTCCTGCTGCAGCTGGAGGCTGGGAGCCCCCTGGAGGGCTGTCTTACCCCTCATTCCTACCAGGAATTAATAAATGTGGACTTTGTTTAAAACATGTCTTTGGTCATGGGTCCAGAACAGCCCCAGGGAGGGACTTCCAAGGCTGAGGGGAAGTGGGCTGGGGGCTGAAACCTGGGCAGGGATCCTGGGTTCTGAAAGTGGGCAGATAGGTCCTGGGGCTAGACTCTGGGTTCTGAGTATGGGAGGGCTGGAGGCTGAAGGCTGGATCCTGGGCCTTCGTAAGTCCTCTGCCCTTTTCCATCAAGCTGGCCACAACTCTCCTGGTCAGGCCTTCCCTAAAGCTGGGGTAGCTCCAGGCTCCAGACACATGCCCTCTCTACCTTAGCTGCATCTATTCCCACTGGGGCACCAGGAGGCAATGCAGAGGCCACCTGCGTTTTGTGGTCCTGCCAGCACGGCTCAAGCTGCCATGTGGACCATATTCCAAGCCCAAAGCCGGCCTCTGGCATGCGAGCTGTGAGAATGGCCAGGCTCTTCACCCTTCTCTGCCTGAACTGCCTCCTGCCTCTCCCTGGGCTCTGGCTCAAGGCAGTGCCTTCTTTTGGATTATTTAAATATTTTTTAGTATTCCATTTTTTATTCTTTTTTTAAAAGACTTTATTTTTTAAAGTAGGTTTGGGTTTACAGAAAAATTGTGCAGTAAGTACAGATAGTTCCCATGTACCCCTCTGCCCGCTTCACTGTTGCTATTATTTTTAAATTTGGTGGGTTCATTTAAAAACTATTAATTCTATTTAGTAGTTATGTTACTTAGTTCTTCTTGAGTATGTTTTGGAAAGTCATATTTTTCCAGAAAAGTATCCATTTTGTCTGAAATTTCAAAATGATTAGCATAAAGTTGTCCACGTTATTCTTTTTTAATTTTCTAATTATCTATTATATCTGTAGTCATATACCTTTTTCATTCCTGGTATTTGTGTCTTCTAGCTCTTTTTTGATCAAACATGCCAGCTTTGGTTTTACTCTACTTTTGTTTTCTATTAATTCCTATTATCTTTACTACATTCTTCCTTCTTTCTTGGGATTTTCTGTTTTAATTATTGAAGTTAGGAAAAAAAAAAAAAACCATTGCCATCAAGTCAATTCTGACTCATAGGGACCCTACAGGACAGAGTAGAACTGCCCCATGGGGTTTCCAAGGAGCAGCTGGTGGATTGGAACTGCTGACGTTTTTTTTGGTTAGCAGCCCAGCTCTTAACTAGCGTGCCAACAGGGCTCCACTGAAGTTAGAGCTTTAGCTTTAGCTGATTAATTTTTATCATTTCCTTATTTCCAATACTGGGCATTCAAGACTAAAATTCCCTCTAAACTCTCCTCTGGCAGCATTGCACAAGTTTGTTATGAAGCATTTTTAGTTATTGCTTGGTTCTAAATATTTTCCAATCTACATAAAAAATCATGTAAAAATTATGATTTTATATTTGACCTATGAAAGGATCAACGTTTTTTTGTAGTTATCTTTTTGTGATTCATTTCTAACTTACTACCTTGGGTCAGAACGTCATTTGTATAACACTGATTCTTTAATGTAAATTGAAAGTTGTTTTGTCTCCAAAAACGACTGAGTTCTGTAGTTGCTGTGTATAGGGCTCTGTATATATCTATGGGCTAAGCTTCTAAATTTGTGTTAAACAAATCTTCAGTAGCCTTTCTGGTGTTTCACCTTTTTATGTGCCATCATAAAAGAGTTAGCATTTCCAACTACAGGTATGATTTCATCATTTCTCTTTGTGATTCTGTTCTATAATAAAGCTATGTTATGAAGTGTCCGGTTTTGAACTGCTGAACCTTCCTGATGCATTGTTCATTTTACAAAAATAGAGTGACCCTAGGTGGTGCAGACAGTTAAGCACTTGGCTACTAACTGAAAGGTTGGCGGTTCGAACCCATCTAGAGGCACCTCAGAGAAAGGCTTGATGATCTACTACTGAAGGATTACAGCCATTGAAAACCAAATGCAGCAGTTCTACTCTGAAACACACGGGGTCGCCATGAGTCAGAATTGACTCAATGGTATCTGGTTACTTGTTATGTATCCCTAATAATGCTTTTTGAGCTTAAAGTCTATTTTGTCTGAAATAATACAGCTCCATCACCTTTCTTCAGATTCATTCCTGCCTTGTGTTTTTCCCACCCCTTTACCCTCAACTTCCCTAAATCTTTGTGTTTGATGTGTCTCTTCTAAAGAACATATGGCTAGATTTAAAAGAAATCCAGCCTGTTAGCATTTGTCTTTTACTTGGTTTGTTGAGTATAGTTATGTTTACTGAAATTGCTGGTATAAACCCTAGTGCTTCCTGTTCCTGGTGGTGTGACCTTGTCCAGTCACTTACATTCTCCAGCCCCTCATCTCCTCCATAAAATGGAGATGACCATCCTCCCCTCAGAATGTTGTGTGAAGATTAAATGACACAGCACACATAATTATTTAGCCGACTGACCAGCACATGTAGGTCCTTCTTTCCCTTGAACTCCTTTCCCTTCAGACAGACAAGGGCAGACACATATCTTACAATAAAATGGGTGGTGGAGATGCTCAGAGCATCATGGAGAAGCGATGCAGCTCCTCAGTGACAAGAGACCGAGTGAGTGGGGGACAGAAAGTCATGGAGATGGACACCGCGAGTCAGTGACCGGGACCAGGTGCTGCAGAAGATGGGTCCCACTATTCCTCCCTTACAGATGAGGAGGTGGCTGAGGCTCAGGGAGTCACTTATCTGAGGTCCCCGAGGCAGCCAAGGAGAGGAGTGGGCTCTACAACCTCACTTTAGGCCTTTCCACCCCTTGCAGCCTGTGGAGGCCCATGCCATCATTTCACTGGAGTGTACATCTCTCATCTCTGAGTTTTCCTCTCAGTCTCTCAGCCTCTGCCGTACTATGTGTGGCAGTCTCTGCTTCTGGGCATCTCTAGTACTGTCTCTGCTGGGAGGGTGGTCTGCTTTTATGATTCCCATCCAGGCTGCCTAAGCTGAGGCCTTAGGCTCAGAGCATTCTCTGATAGGGAGGCTGGGAATTAGGTCTCTCTCTCTCCCTGCCCCCCTGTTCTGAACCCACAGTAACATTCTCTGTCTCTATGACTACCTGTGGCTACTTAATTGTACTAAAGTAATTAATCTTGTAGCTAGTAGGGGAAGAAATGTCCTTTCTGGCCATGCACTCACAGTCTCAGGACTGCCATGCTGTTTGAATTTGAACAAAGTTCGGCAACATGATGGTCAAACCGGGTGTGGCCCAACAAAGGCCCCTTCCTCTTACTGCCTTTCCCTGTTGCCATGCACTCTGAGGTATAAAGCCCCTAGACCCCTTTGCCTCGTGGTCTTTCACCTGCAATGTAAACTTGGAGCCTTATGTGTGCAGAAGAGATTTCCTGTGTCAACTCACCCTGGGATGGGGATCTGAGGGAGACCTATCCCATGATGAACCTTACCCCATTTATCTGCATCCTAAGTGCTATGTAAGTAAATAAAAGTTTGTGATCTCGCCACTGGGTGATGTCAATTAATTACTGAGAGCTACAGCCCTCTATGAGGCCATTTTTCATCTTGACTCACTGCACTCTGATATACCAACCCAAGGTCTCTGTCTCTCTGGGTCTCAACTTCCTGTTCTCCATCTCTCTCTCCTCAGTCTATCTCTTTTCATTTACTTGTGACACAGAGGGAATGAGTCCAAGACAAAGGGAGAAACACAGGGAGAGATGGTGATGGTGACCAGGACACAACAATATGGCAGGTCAAATGATTCACACATGATGGTATCGTCAGAGAAACAGGCATGGACGCTGACCTCCAACAGAAAGAAACAGAGGATGAAAAATGCAGAGAGGGACAGGGATGCTGAATTGTGATAGGCGGCCAGAGAGTGCAAAGAGATCTGGGCAACCACCAAGCCCGTGGTGCCAGGGGGCTCTGGGGCTGTAGGGAGGGCAGACTCAAAACAGTAATATTTTATTGAGGCTACTACATGCCAGGCTTGTCTGGACGATGGGGACCCGGGAAAATCAGATTGTTCTTGCCTTGTAGGGCCACAGCCTGGTGGGGAGACAGCCATGTAAATGTACGTAAGAATGACGCAGGTCGTAGGGTAGTGACTCCCTCAGGGAAGACATCAGGTGCTGTACATTCATCCCACAGACATTGGTCAGGGCCTATTACAGCTTGTGTGCTGTGGATACCAAGAGTAAGACATGGCCCTTGCTCTCAGGAGTTCAGTCTCCTTGGGAAACACAGATGGTGCGCTCCACAGGAGTAAATAAGTAAAGACAACATGGTAGGAGTTATAAGAGAGATAAGCACAGGGTGCTTTGAAGCAGAGAGGGTGAGGCTAACTCTGTTTCGGGATTCAGGGGAGATTTTTTTCATTGAAGAAAGACATTTGAAACATCTTGGAGGATGAGAATCATTGCCAAATGCCATGAGGAGAGAAGGAGGTTTCTAGGCACAGATACAAAGGCACATAGGTTGGACATATGGCTTTTTCAGGAACCACAAGTAGTTCCACAGGGTTACTGTATAGCTGGTGGTACCATGGGAGGAGATGAGGCTGACAGGAGGCTGGAGTGTTCTTGAATGTCAGGCGAAGACTCTGAAGTTTATCCTGTAGGGCAGCACTTTAAAACCCTTTTCACATCACTGCACACTCAGAAAAATGACAATATTGGTACGGCAGACATGAGGGTAACCAGAAAGGTTTCTTGAGGCCCAAGGTAACCTACATCTTGGTGTACATGTTAGTCATTCAGGAAGTTTTGTTGTAGCAGGTGACACAGTGCAGAACTTTCTGTCGTGGAGTGACAGATTTGTGTTGTAGAAAGAACCTCCTGGAGGCCCGTGTGGAGAGTGGATCAGAGGGGGAGAGAACGACAGCAGGAAGGGGTCAGGAAGGAGACCCCTGCTATAATCCAGGCATAAGGTGATAAGGGCTCAGATAAGGTGTCAGTGGTGGAGAAGGAGAAGATGGATTACAGAGGAGTAAGACCTATAGGGCTGGGGCCTGGTGGGTGATGGGAGAGGGGGAGGGAGAAAGTGATGACCGGTAATCGTCAATCAGCACCACTGATTAAGACGGGGGACAGGAGAGAGACTGAGTGTCTGGGGAAGGCTCCATGGAAGAGGCAGCCTCACAAGCTGGCCATGGAGTTAGACATGAATTAGGGTGGGGTGGAAACAGCTGGCTCAAAGGCACAGAGGTGGGTGTGATCAGGCATCCCTCCTGAGCTACACAGGAAAGGAACAGGTGAGAAGAGTAGCGATCTGGAAATGAGAAGCTCCCTAGTCAGAGCATCTTGGGGCCAGAGTCCTGACAGACACTTCACCCCAATTGCTCCTTTGGCTCTGAGGACCAATCCAAATCCTCAGCTCAGCTGTTCTCTCTCTGTGACAACCCTAAGTGGATATGGAGGGCAGCAGGATACTTCTGGAAGCTTCTCCAGGTGCCATGAATCATTGTGTGTTCATCAAGGGTCACACCTGGGTTTCCAAATGCAGAATTGTTCCTGGATAGTCCCAGAGTCTACCCTGCAGCACCTTATCATTTTGAGGGACTCATCACCCACCCCATTCTTTTTGGTTCTTCTGGAACTCAGGGTTTCTCTTAGATGTTGAGCCTCCGAGGGGAGGCTGTGCTGTACCTTGAGGGCATTTTCTGGTTACTGTAGCACTGTGATGTGAATCTTTAGGTGAACCATGAGGGCTGAGCTACGACTGAAGGCTTTCCCACAGTCACTGCACTTGTAGGGCTTCTCTCCCGTGTGGGTCCTCTGGTGCTCGATGAGAGAGGAGCTCTGGGCAAAGGCCTTTGGACAAACCTTACATTGATAAGGCTTCTCTCCAGAATGGATCCTCAGGTGTCGGATCAGAGCTGAGTAGTCGCTGAAGGCTCTCCCACATACATTGCACTTGTAGGGTTTCTCCCCGGTGTGGATCCGCTGGTGCTGAGTCAGGTGGGTACTCTGACTGAAGGCCTTCCTGCACTTCTCACACTCGTAAGGCCGCTCCCCCGTGTGCACCCGCTGGTGCTGGGTGAGGTGAGTGCTGCGGCTGAAGGTTTTGCCACATTCCCCGCATTTGTAAGGTTTCTCTCCAGTATGGATCCTCTGGTGCTGAGTCAGGTGGGTGATTCGGCTGAAGGCTTTCCCACATTCTTTACACTCATGGGGCTTCAACCCCGTGTGGACAACTTGATGCTGGGCCAGGTGAGTGCTTCGGCTGAAGGCTTTCCCACACTCGCTGCAGGCATAGGGTGTCTTTCGAGAATGGCTCTTCTGGTGTGCCTCAAGGGCCAAGGGGCTCCTGAAAGTTTTCCCACAGTTGCCACACTTGGAGAACTTGAGCTCTGGGTACATGCATGGAGACTCAGTCCTGTAACCATCTAATGAATCGAATTTCTCTTCTGAAGGAGCCTTTTCTCCTGAGGCAAAGTTTGGCCACATGTTGGGACTGTTCCTTGAGACACCATAGTCACAACTGGGCTGGTCTGTGGAGGCGTCCTTGTGAGGCCCTGAAGTTTTCCTGAAATCCATCTGTTGGGTGACAGACTTTGTCCAGGTCTCCCCTGAGAGTCCTGCCCGCCTCTCTGAGCTGTCCTCGTGTTCACAAGCATCACGAAAGGCAGGTCCCAAAGATACATCTCCCATGAAGATTTTGGTGACCACGTCTGATGACTGTGACTCTTCTGAATTGCTCTGATTGCAGCTTGCCTCTGCGGGCTCGGGTCCTGGGTCCCACTCTGAAACAACCCAAACCACAAATGTCACTGCTTCCTACACAACAAGCCTGTCTCACCCCACTCTGGCCACACACTAAGGTGAACCACAGGCTCACATTTAGCCCCATTTGCAAGAGGAAGTTTCTCATTGGATGTCTTTCATGACAAAAGGGTATAGGACTGGCCCCCACACAATCCAAAATTACATCAGGGGTTCCAATTTCTCATTTTCTCCCTTGTCTCCTGTACCCAAACTCCCTATCCTTCAAGGCTCCTCATTTTGGCTCAAGTGTCAGAAGGGAAACACTGAGGTTGAACTGATCTGAAAGAGCAAGAGAGACAGAGTGGGCCTATTAGGGGGTTTGTCCTTATCAGGCATCCATGTACGTAGGCCTCTAGGCAGGCCCTGAGCATACGAGCACTGTGCCCCCTGGGTCTGGCATGGGTCTGACACCTGCAGGTGCTCAGTGAATATTGGCTGAATGAGGGAATCAATCCCTGATGCCGGTGACTGGGACATTTTCTGCAGTAGATTCCTTTACTCAGAAGCCCAAGTAGAAAATTGTTGCTGTGGGTGAGTGCGGAATGGGTGAGCTGGGGTCGTATCCCCAAGCCCCCAGGAGACCTGAGGCTCACCCCTTATAAAGTACTTTATAAAGCACTTTCTTAAAGGTAGAGAGTGGATAAGGGGCAGTTGGAGGTCAGGGTGTATAGGAGGTAGAGTTGTGCCCACATTGACCTGCCCTTGATGGGTCAAAGTGCTCCTGAGGATGCTTACTCTGGCAACACTTACTGGACAGATTCCAGAAAGAGACGAGAAAGACAGGTAGGGGGTTGGGAGTGGAGAGCAACCACTGCCCATGTCACAGTGGGGGGCTCAGTGGTGCAGAAACTGGGTTTCAGCCCCAGCTCGGCTACCGTCTGGCTCCAGGGCCTTGGGTCAGTTCTGCCCTCGTTTGGGCCTCAGTTTCCCCATTGGTAAGACAGGGACACTATACTGCCTACCTTACAGAGCTGCTATTATGACTCTTGTCATGTGTTAGGCTCCAAGTGCAGTGTGAAAATTCAATTGCTTCACTTCGTCCTCAACACCGCTCCCATAAGGAGGGACTGTGACAGTGGCATTTCACAGACGCAGAAACTGAGGCCCAAACAAGTGAAGGACTTGAGTAACTTGTGCAAGACCCTACAGTTAGCTAGTGGCCAAGTCAGGATTTCAACCTGGAGTCTTCTCCTTCTCCTGGCCCATGGCACCCCCTCCCCATCACTACCCACAACTTCCTGCTGGGCCCTCTCTCCCTGTGGAGTTTACATTAACTTTACCTGGAGAATTTGGTCTTTGTCCTTGGTTCCTGAGAGATAAACTCTAAAACCTTAGAATTCCCCCAGTGACTGAGGTGCCTTTGTTATGTCTACTGTATTTTCGCAAATGACGCACTATAAGTTTTTGCAAACTGTGCAACCCCTCCGCGTGTTATTTTCATAAGCATGCTATACCAATATTTTTTTACATGTTGCTGACTTCAATTTCATTTTTTTTCTTTCCAGTGGATTTAATGTTACCAGGATAAAGCTGATCTCATGGAAACTTTATTTAAGGTAGGTATTTTCCTAAACCAAGTGCAACCAATGGTGAACTGAACAGGCTCATGATGGAAATGGGACACCATGTTGGCACCAGAGTATGAATGCACAAAGAGCTAGAAATTAGTAAGTAAGAAATGATCCTAGGCATAAAACTACAAGAGCAATATGTTGTTTATATTTTACTGCTTTCATAAATCTTAAACTGAAACATAAATTTTTATTATCAATGTCTTTGAAATCAATAAAAGTCACCAGAAGAAATTGTTTTCACCTTAAAATAGGCCATTTTATTCATTCATTATCATCATCATCCTCATATGACTCCCAGAAACCTTCAAAGTCCAATTCCTTGTCACTATCATCATTGAAATTTCTCAGAGCTGCCTACAGACACTCTTCTCTGACTTCTGAACTGATGTCATTATCTTCACTGCCTACAGTTTATCTTCATCATCCGTATTCCGCTGGTACAAAATCCCAGCCTTTCTGAAGCTGTTGTGGATGGTTTCTGGAGTTATTTTCCCCCGAGCAGAAGCCACCCACTTGCAGACTTCTGTAAACATTGCCCACTTCAGTCGTCCTGATGGTGTGAACTCAAGAATCCCAGACTGCATCCATTCATCCCACTCTCTTCTCATGAAAGTCTTGAACAGGTGTTTGACTGCTGTATCTAGTGGCTACACCTTGCAGGTAAGGCCACCAGGTATGACTGCTATATGGGCACCAGTGAGTTAATATAATTTTGAATGTTTTTTCTTTGTGAGCAGCCATGGCTTTGAAAATTAGTAAAGATTTCTTCAAACAGAATCCCCCCTGCCTGCCCCTATAACATCTATCTACCCATGTTTTCGTAATATCACAGTCCATCCATCCCTTTTTATTACAATGAACAACCACACTGGTGGGCAATTTTTTGTGAAGCATGATAACTCTCTTAAAAATCACCATCAGCTTTAATTTTACCCCACTCACAATGCAACCAAGGACTATAGTGAAGCAAGCCCTCTCGTGCCCAGTGGTTGTAATGGCTACTGTTTTTGTACCTGTAGCAGCTACAGTACTGGTGGCTGGAATGTCAAAAGACATTAGAACCTTGTCCATATTAATTATGTCCATTTCAGAGATACCGAGTTCAGATATTTCTTTGGTGATGAAGTCACAGAAGTTGACCATCTTTTGCTCCCAGACATCTGGAAGTTGCTGGCCTACAGTGGTTCTCATCCTCACGGGCTATTCCTTTTAATGAATTTAGAAATCCAGGTGAAACCTGCCTTGAAATCTGGGATTCCCCTTTCATCTACCAGTAGCGTCACTTTGATCTGAATTACGACAGTAGAAACAGCTTGATTTTGTTCCCTTCGAGAAATAATCCACTTTTTCAAGTCGTTCTCCAACTCAGGCCATTTGGTTTTAGGCCTACAACATGTGCGTTTTCGTGGATTCATTTTCTCCAGCTCCTTTTTCTCCTTTCTCCATTTGTGAATGGACAACTCTCCAACCTCGAACTCTGTTGCTGCTGCTCTGCTGCTTGTTTCTTCCGCCCTCACAATGACTTTCAGTTTGAAGTCAGCAATGCAGGACTTATGTTTAATTCCTGCCATGATCCTAAAGGGTTCTAAGATTTAAATTTATAAACTGAAAAAATGTGCACAATATAATCGATAACTGGCTGTTTGTAGTAAAGAGATTGCAAAAGTGAAATGTAAGGTGTACAAGAAGTGAGGGTCTTTTATATGATCGCAAGCATATGACTAAGGTGACTTATGATCATTGATCAGAGACATTGGCGCTAATAAGACATAATTAGACTATGAAATAAGCAGACATAACACAGCTTAATGGTTTAACTTAAAATGATCTGATAAGGTTTTCACATTCAATTGTTGAGCCAAAACATGCGCGGTATATGCATGGGTGTGCTATGCCAGAACTTTTTAACATAATCGTCATTTCCACGTGTTTTAGATACATATATATGTATACATATATACACATATATGTATATATATATATATACATATATATATGTGTGGGTTATTTAGGGGGATGCATTATTTGCGAAAAATAAGGTATAGGCCTCCAGACCACACCTGTGTTTATGCTAATGAGATGACTCTTGGGTGGGGGCTGGTCAGGCCAGAAGGACCACTGTTGGGCCTGATATCAGCTTACCTGAGGGGAGATGGGCTGAACCAATCAATCATGACTATGTAATGAGGCCTCAATAAAGGCTCTACACAGAGGCTCCAGGGCTTCCTGGTTGGTGAAAGATATGGATGCATGCACGTGGGAGTGTAGCACGGCCCTTTTTGGGACATGAAATCTCCATGTTGGGAACTGTCTCTGGCCTCACCCTATATGTCTCTTCATTTGTATTCTTTTTACTATAATAAAACTGTAATCCTAAGTATAGCACTTTCCCTGCATTCTGTGAGTTGTTCCAGCAAATTCTCAAACGAAAAGGAGTAGTGGGAGCCAGCAAGTCAGAAGTGAGGTGGGGTTGGGAACCCCTTACCTTACAGCTGGTGTCCGGAAGGGATAGAGAGAAACCCCGAATTTGTAGCCACCAGGTCAGAAGTGAGGGGGGCTGGGAACCCCTTAGCTTACAGCTGGCATCCTGAAGGGGTCCTGAGGGCAGGACCAACTACTGCCCTGTTCATTTTTGGATCCTAGACCCCAGCCCTGGGATGGCTACCAAGCACCCCTTGGTGGAATCTGCTAAATGAATGAACCACCGAGAGAGCATCTAGGGGTGGTACATGGAATCCTCCAAGGCCTGGACTCACGGAACCAGAGGCAAAACACTCTCTGGGTATGAAGGGAGCCAGAGGGAGTATATAGGAGGATGATCTGGGCCCGGAAAGACTGTTAGCTGCTTCTCCCCACCCAACAGCCATATAAGAGTCTCAGGACCTGAGAGACAATCCCGTCCCAGGACCAAGCAGGGGAGGTGCCACCTTCCCCGGGTAGGGGCTGAGGTGTAACCTGTCAGCATGGGTTTGAATCCCAGCCATTCCAACTGCTGGCAGCATGAGCCTGGGCAAGTTCTGTCTCCTCTCTGAGTCTCAGTTTCCCCACCTGCGAAGTGGAACTGGTTCCTCCCTCACAGGGCTACTGGAAAGGCTGCCGAGGCACCTACATCCCACTCCCCACTTCTCCTCTCAGTCTACCAGCTAAAGAGATGCCCCTCCATGGAGGCAGGGGCTTCAGCCCGAGAATAGGAGGGTCTCTATATTCCCTGGTCTCTGTCCCCTGGGAGCAGCAGAAAAGCCTTAACCCCACAGGGTGGGCTTATCTCCAGGGGCTGAGAAAAGTCAGAGGACTGGAAGGTTCCGCTGGCCAACTAGTCAGCTGTTGAAGGGCAGCTAGATGCAGCCTGCAGGGCTTGGGGAGGCGGAGTCTCTGAGAATGTGGTGGACGAGGCTGGCAGGAACGGGTACCCACTTACCTAGGAACTGGGGTGCCCCGCTGCTGTCCAGCTCCCCACTGTGGGTGGAGGCTACACGTCCAGGGTTCAGGTTGTGCCTCTGCTCCTGGCCTGGCTTCGGTGAGGCTGCCTCCTGCAAGCCAAAGCATGACCCCTCCTGTTATGGATTGAATTGTGTCCCCCCAAAATGTGTTGTAAATCCTAACCCCTATACATGTGGTTTGCTATGAGTTGGAATAAACTCGACAGCAAAGGGTTTGGTTTGGTTTAGTTTATACCTGTTGTTATAATCCCATTTGCGAATGAGTTTTCTTTGTTATGTTAATAAGGCACTATTAGTGTAGGGTGTGTCTTAAGTCAGTCTCGTCTGAGATATAAAAGAGCAGATTAAGCAAGCACATATGGGGGAACAGAGATGCCAGGCCACATGAAAATCACCAAGGAGCCAAAAAGCTAAAAAGAGATGAGGACCTTTTCCCAGAGCCGATAACGAGAGAAAGCCTTCCCCTAGAGCCGGCGTCCTGAATTCAGACTTCTAGCCTCCTAAATTGTGAGAAAATAAGTTTCTGTTCATTAATACCACCCACTTGTGGTATTTCTATTATAGCAGCACTTGGTAACTAAGATACTACCTGAGACAGGGCTCCTGTGGATTAGGCAGACAGATGGCCTGGAGCAGGAAGGTGGGGTCCTCATTATGATGGGGTTGTGGGCCTTGGTGGGCAAATCAGGCAATGGCTAATGGGCCCTCAGCTTCCAGTGCTCCACTGTCCACCCAGTCACCCATGCCAGGACCTGGTGTCACCTCCCTGTACATCCAGTCCACCACCTTCACTGCCACCCACTCCTCTTCTCACTGTGCTGATCCACCAGGGGGCACTGTCAGGGCAAGTCAGCGCCAAAGGAAGAAACACTGAACAGCAGTCAAAATGACCTTGGACCGTCCAGCCGCTGGAGAAAACAGTCTGGCAGTTTCTTAAGAGGTTAAATATAGAGTTATTGTTGTTGTTGTTAGCTGCCGTCGAGTCAGCTCCTACTCCTGGCAACCCCATGTGTTCCAGAGTAGAAATGCGCTCCATAGGGTTTTCTTGGTTGTGATTTTACAAAAGCAGTTTGCCAGGCCTTGCTTCTCTGGTACCACTGGGTGGGTTCCAACCACTGACTTTAGTTTAGCAGTCGATTGCAAAATGCTTGCATCACCCAGGCTCCTAGAATTACCAGATGACTCAGCAATTCTACTCCTATGTATCTACCTAAAAGGAGTGAAAACATTTGTATATGGATATTTATAGCAGCATTGTTTGTGACAGCCAAAAAGTGGAAACAACCCAAATGGCCATCAACTGATGGATGGATAAACCAGATGAGGTATATCCATACAATGGAATATTATTTGCCGTAAAAAGGAATGAGGTACTGATATATACTACAACATGGATGAACATTGAAAACATTATACTAAGCCAAAGAAGCTGGACACAAATGGTCAGATATCGTATGACTCCACATTATGGACTGAATTGTGTCCCCCAAAGAAATATGCTGACGTCCTAACCCCTGTACCTGTGAATGTGATGCTGTTTGGAAATAGGAGTTTTCTTTTAGGTTAATGAGGTCATATCCAAGTAGGGTGGGTCCTATACCTAATTCCTTCTGAGTGGTGTCTTATAAAAAGAGCAGAATAGACAGACATACACATGGATGATGTCATGTGAGGATTCATCTAATCTACAAGTCAAGGAACACCAAGAAGCTAAAAGAAACAAGGAATGATTTCCAAGAGAGAGGACTGCTGATGCCCTGAATTCAGACTCCTAGCTTCCAAAACTGTGAGACAATAAACTCTTGTTCTTTAAAGCCACCCACTTGTGGTTTTTTTGTTACAGTAGCAACAGAGAACTAAAATACTCCTTTTATGTGAAATGACCATAGAGACAGAAAGTAGATTAGTGGTTGCCAGGGATTGCGGGAGGGGAATGGCGAGTGACTGCTAACGGACATGGGGTTTCTTTTTTGGGTGATGAAAATATTCTGGAATTAGACAGTGGTGGTGATTGCACAACCCTGTGACTACACTAAAAACGACTGAATTGTTCACTCCAGAAGGGTGAACTGTATGGTTGTCGTTGTTGTTAGGTGCCCTCGAGTCAATTCCAACTCATAGCAACTCCATGTGACAGAGTAGAACTGCCCCACAGGGTTTCCAAGGTTGTAATCTTTCCGGAAGCAGACTGCCACATCTTTCTCTTGCAGTGCAGCTGGTGAGTTCAAACCGCCCACCTTTGGGTTAGCAGCTGAGCGCTTAACCACTGTGAAACCAAGGCTCCTTAAGTATATCTCAATAAAACTTTAAAAATTTAAAAATGAATGAAGAAATTGCATGAGGCCCCCACATGCCTCAGTCAGCAGAGTGTACTGCCTTAGCTCTGCCTTCAACACATCTGACCTGTCCCACCTCATGTCTTTTGCCCCGCTCCTCCCCTTGCCTGGGCCCCCCACCTTTGTGTGCTGGCTCCGTCACTGTTCTTGTCCCCCACCTCAGTGTCGCCTCTTCAGACGACACATCATGTGGCCGCCACATCATCCTATTGACACGCCCCCCTTTCCTGCACAGCATCACCTGAATGACGCTGCACTGGCAATTATGTTCTTGATTTCTGTCTGTGCCTCATATTCTAGTCGCCTCGAGGGCCGTAGCTTTGTCCTGTGCGTGGCTGCATCTAAGGCATCTCACTCGGTGCTGGGCACATAGTGAAAAACCAAGCCTATTGCTGTCAAGTCAATTCTGACTCATGGTGACCCTGTATGTTACACAGCAGAACTGAGCTCCCTAGGGTTTTCTTGGCTGTGGTCTTTATGGAAGCAGATTACCAGGACTATCTAATGTGGCGCTGCTCTGCGGGTTCAAACTGATGACCTTTCAATTAGTAGCTGAGCACAAACTGTTTGTCCCACCCAAGTACCTGGGTGCATAGTACCAAAAAAACCCACTGCAATTGAGTCAATTCCAACTCATAGTGATCCTATGGGACAGAGTAGAACTGCTCCATAGTGTTTCCAAGGCTGTAATCTTTTTTTTTTTTTCAGTTGTGCTTTAGGTGAAAGTTTACAGCTCAAGTTAATTTCTCATACAAAAATTTATACACATTTTGTTATGTGTCACTAGTTGCAGTCCCTATAATGTGACAGCACACTCCCCCTTTCCACCTCAGGTTTCCTATGTCCACTCAACCACCTCCTGTCCCTTTCTGCCCTCTCATCCTGCCTCCAGACAGGAGCTGCCCATTTAGTCTTGTGTATCCGCTTGAACCAAGAACCACACTCCTCACGAGTATTATTTTATGTTTTATAGTCCAGTCTAATTTTTGTCTGAAGAGTTGGCTTCAGGAATGGTTTCAGTTCTGGGTTAACAGAGCGTCCACAGGCCATATCTTCAAGGGTTCCTCCAGTCTCGGTCAGACCATTAAGTCTGGTCTTTTTACATGAATTTGTGTTCTGCACCACACTTTTCTCCTGCTCCATCAGGGATTCTCTGTTGTGTTCCCTGTCAGGGAAGTTATTGGTGGTAGCCAGGTACCATCTATTTCTTCTGATCTCAGGCTGACGGTGTCTCTGGTTCATGCGGTCCTTTTGTCTCTTGGGCTAATGTTTTCCTTGTGTCTTTGGTGTTCTTCATTCTCCTTTGTGCCAAGTGGGCTGGGACCCATTGATGTATCTTAGATGGCCTCTTGTAAGCTTTTAAGACCCCAGACGCCTCTCACCAAAGTGGGATGCAGAACCAAGGCTGTAATCTTTACAGAAGCAGATCACCAGGCCTTTCTTCTGTGGTGCTGTTGGTTAGATTCAAACTGCCAACCTTTCAATTAAAAGCTGAGTGCAAACTCTTTGTGCCACCCAGGGATCTGGGTGCACAGTAGGCACTCCTAAATCTTCTAGTACTGTCTTAAGCTGGGTTCTCTAGAGAAGCAAAATCAGTGAAGCATATATATATATATGTGTGTGTGTGTGTGTGTGTGTGTGTGTATGTATGTATGTACGTATACATACAGGGAAAGAGAAAGGAAAAAATATATCAAGGAAGTGGCTCACGCGGTTGTAGAGGCTGGAAAGTCCCAAATCTGTGGGTCAGGCTGGAGGCTTCTCCCGACTCACACAGCTGCAGAGGCTGGCAAACCCAAGACCCAGACCGCAGAGGCTGTCAAATCCCAAGATTGGCAGGTAAGCTGCTAGTTCAAGTCCCAAAAACCAGAGGTCAGATGAGCAGGAGCCAGCTGCAGGATCCAGAGCAAGCAAAAACCAACAAGCCTTGCCAGAAAGTCCACCTATATTGGATGCAGGCCACACCCCCAAAGAAACTCCCTTTCAACTGATTGGCTACTCACAGCAGATCCCATCATAGGGCAGGTGATCACATTATATCAGATCTCAACATGGAGGTGATTGCATCATTATGTTTTTAGGTTGTTAGGTGCTGTCGAGTTGGTCCAACTCATAGCGACCCCATGTACAACAGAACGAAATACCGCCTGGTTCTGCGCCATCCTCACAATCATTGCTGTGCTTGAACCCATTGTTGCAGCCACTGTGATAATCCATCTCATTGAGGGTCTTCCTCTTTTTTGATAACCCTCCACTATACTAAGCATGATGTCCTTCTCCAGGGACTGGTCCCTCCTGATAACATGTGCAAAGTATGTGAGACGAAGTCTCACCATCCTCACTTGTAAGGAGCATTCTGGCTGTACTTTTTCCAAAATAGATTTGTTTGTTCTTCTGGCAGTCCATGGTATATTCCATTTTCTTCACCAACACTATAATTCAAAGGGGTCAATTCTTTTTTGGTCTTCCTTATTCATTGTCCAGCTTTTGTATGCAAGGTGATTGAAAATACCATGGTTTGGGTCAGGCTCACTTTAATCGTCAAAGTGACATCTTTGCTTTTCAACACTTTAGAGATCTTTTGCAGCAGATTTGCCCAAGGTAATACGTTGTGTGATTTCTTGACTGT